GTACTTGTAATTGATGGCTGGCGACGTTGTACTACATCCATAATGGGCACGGCAAGGCCCTGGCCCCTGCTTTTCGAATGTCGCCCCCCGGATGAAGTCGCCAACGACGCCGTACCCGGATGTACAGCATCCTTGAAAGTAGTATTAGCGCAGCCCGACGCTCGTGGTTAACATTCTCACTTGGGGTCCCACCCACTATCTTTTGTTCTTGCGGCCACGATGCAGGTCTTCCAATGGTTCACGCGTCACTCTCATTCGCTAGGTTTTCTCAGATCTTGGTTTCCATTGCGTTCGATGCCTAATCTTTTTCTCTCTAAAGCCGCTGGTAACAATACCGATAAAGAGCATCATTGGTCGGACTCTGAAGAACCTGTTGACGAGTGCGGACCGACCGGTTACCACCCCACTGCGATAGGCGACGTCTTTGATTCGAAATATCGAGTCATACGAAAGGTCGGATGGGGCGGTTCCTCAACTGTTTGGCTTGTTCGAAATCAAATGTAGGCGTTAAGATTCATGCCAGCCAACAGATATGATCTTGATACATATACTCAGCGATGGTTCTATTGCTGCGCTGAAGCTGTTGACGGGTCAGTAGACTATGTGCTCGTTCCGTTCCGCCGGCTCATCTCCGAAGTGCTAGGCTTTGCGTCAAGTACCCCTTTACTCCACGAATTGGAGTACCTTCAACGAATGCGAGACGAAGATCCAGAACACCCCGGATATCCGCACGTCATTCGACTAATAGACCATTTCTACCACGAGGGCGTTTACGACAGGCACCTTGGTCTCGTGACAGAAGCGCTTGGCCAGGACTTGGCCTCGCTCATGGAACGCTTCAAAGGCGGCCGAATTCCTCTGTGTGCTGTCAAGCGCATCACTCGACAAGTCGCTTTGGCCCTCGACTATCTGCACAACTCTTGCCATATCATACACACAGGTTCGCTCTTTTCGTCTCGCTTTGGAAAGGGGCTATCGCAGATGAGCTAATGAGCTACTTTTTAGACGTCAAGCCCGCAAATGTCCTTTGTGTGGTCAAAGATGTCAGCCGTTTCAGGCCGCCTCCCGAGCCATTTCACGTCTCAGCCCACGAAACCCCTGATGGACGTGTAATAACCCGCTTCGCATCACACCCTGTTCGGTACGCTCTGCCTCATGATCTCAACGCCCCCGACGCCTGGAATGACTTCGAGGTCAAGCTGGCCGATGTAGGCGTCGGTGTGTTTCTCGTGCGCTTCACCTCTGCTAGCACGTCTAATCACGACGTGCATCCACGCAGCATGCTGGGGGGACAAGATTGACGACCACTTCACAAAGCTAATCCAGAGCCCCGCGTTACGGGCACCAGAAGTATGTATTGTCGCGGGATGGGGAAAGCCCGCTGATGTATGGGCTCTTGGCTGCATGGTGCGCTTTCTCTCTCCCCTGTGGAGCTAATTTCTTGGGAGCAGGCTGATATCTGAAGCTGTGTCCAGGTGTACGAGTTGGCTACTGGCCATTCCCTCCTACCTCGAGACGTCCAGGAAGACCACGTGCCTTACCTGCACGCCGTCTTGTTCGACGAGTACCCAATGGCTCTGCTCGAGAGAGGCAGATTCAGCCATGTATTTTACGAAGACAATGGTGGGTCCCGAGCTCCTCGCTATTTCCCAACTTAGCGCATTCGCGCTGATGACACTTCTCTACTCCTAACAGGCAAATTGAACGTCCCGTCCTCTACGCGATACTACTTAAAGGACCGCCTTCGAGATCAGCTTAGCGGCTCTAATTTGGACCGCAGCTCTGTTGACGAACTGTATGACTTTTTGAAGTTGATGCTTGAAGTTGATCCTGAAAAGCGGGCTTCACTGGAGGAGATCTTGGCCCACCGCTGGCTATCCACGTAGTACTGCCACGAAGAGGTTGCCTTTCTCCTCCAACAAAGCCGCAGTTTGTGTATTTGATCTCGAAATGTCAACATGCTGGCCCTCCTAGAGTATGGCGCGCACTGCTGTGACGATGGTTACGTGGAACAGTCCTGGCGGGCAAAGCCATTGTCGTCGCCACGTAACATCGCAACAGCGTCTATGATCGGGCCACTGTCGGACTCTGGACCAAGTGTACTTATTTGAAAAATGTTTCACGTGGCAAGTTTGCAGCCTCTTCTCTCTGTGTATACGCATGCTCTGTTAGCCCACTCTCCTAGATCTCAATCTTCTGACGCATGCTCTGCGCAGGTTTGCTGGCCGCCCGCTATTTTCCTGCAAACCTGGGCTTCCTTCCCGCCCCACACCTACTCTTCGTTGTATGACCATGACCACGTCCAGCCAGCCCACTACTAGTATTGTCAGCTCCGCCGATCGCTACCGGTCCAGTGCGGAAGAGCCACTTGCTGTCATTCGATTTCCATTGGCGATATCCTTGGCGCGAAGCACTAGCAGACAGCCCTTCTCAAGTGCGCGCGTCCGCGTAGTAATCTTATGCTAGATCTATGAATGATACTTGCCTTTGTCGCTTACTTTGGATCATCTCTGGTCCATGCAGTTATCCGGTCGAAGGGCTCAGCAGGGAGATATACTGCGTCTGCGCAGCAAGAGTTGTTTAGTATACGACTCGGGCAAATTATTCTCCTTGCATTCATGCGCCCGAAGCTGGGCGGCAGTCTTGGTACTTAATCGGCGAATTCGGATGTGGGCGCTCGCTCTGCTCGGTGATTTGAAGGACGGCGTCGCATGTACGCCGCTGCGCGCTGAAAGATACCGTCGAGGCTGGAGAATGGCGGGGTGCCTAAACTAAGAAAGGTGCGCGCGTCACAAGGGCTAGTACTTAGCATTTTTAAAACCAATCAGCCCCCGACGGAGTGGATGGATTAATCGAAGGCATTGCCTTTGTTACGTAAGGTTGCCCGTGTGTTGGGCTCTGCAATGCGGAGTCTCAGACATTGATATTTGGCCCCGAGTGGCAAATTTGCGGCCTTCTCCCTCTGCGCATATACACACTTTCGTTCGCTCTCCTCTCCTGGAATCCCATCTGATGCACGCTCCGCGCCTTGCTCGCTGTTCCCTGACCCTGTGCAAGCCTCGGCGTCCCTTCCGTCCCACACCTACTCTACGCTGTATGGCCACAGCTGCGTCCAGCCAGCCCACTGCTGATAGCATCGGCTCCACCGAGTACCACTGGTCCAGAGCAGAAGAGCCACTTAACTGCTATGGCGCCGGGGGCTATCATCCGACTGCCATAGGCGATATCTTTGGCGAGAAATACCGCGTGATACGAAAACTCGGCTGGGGTGTTTACTCTACGGTATGGCTTGTCCAAAATCAGATGTCCGCAGCTATTTTTCTTTATATCCATGCCCACTATCCATCTGACGTACCTTCTCAGCGATAGCTCCTACTTGGCCTTAAAGCTGCTCTCTGGCAAGTCCTTGTGTCCTATAAAGCGCCCAGGCCCCCCAATCCTGTTAATTTGGAATACGTAGACAACGCCTCTAATACCCCCATCCTCCATGAGCTGGAGTATCTTCAGAAAATGCGCGATGAGAATCCGGAGCATCCAGGATATCGTTATACTGCCCGGCTAATCGATCACTTTTATCACGAAGGCGTTAACGGCAGACACCTTGCGCTTGTTACCGAGCTGCTAGGCGAGAGCATGGTTTCGTTCACCAATATATTTGGACATCAACAGCCTCCCGTGGCTGCCATAAAACATTTAACACGGCAGCTTGCGCTCAGCCTTGATTATCTGCACAACTTGTGCAACATTGTACACACGGGTTCGTCCGAGCTCTATTTCGGTGAAGCCCCTCACAACTCACAACGCTATTTCCTCAGATATTAAGACCTCCAATATCCTCTGTGTGCCGAACAATCTTGAGGCACTCAACCTGACTGCTCAGGATGCTGTTGAAATCTGGACGGAGACGACTCCTGAAGGTCAAGTAGTCTCTCGCGTTCCGTCGCGTCCCATCAGATACTCTCTACCCGAAGATATCAATTCTGCCGAGGCATGGAAAGATTTTGAAGTAAAATTGATTGACGTTGGAGTCGGTGTGTCTTGCTTGCTCGCTTCTGCGCTTTATCCGATGGAGGTGGTCGCTGATTGCGCGGTATTCCACGCGCAAAGCCTGCTGGGCGGACAAGACCAAAGACCATTTTACTGAGCTAATACAAAGCGTAGCGCTGCGTGCCCCCGAGGTATGTATTGGCGCTGGTTGGGGCAAGCCTGCTGATATCTGGAGCCTTGGATGCACGGTAAGCCGATCTCTTTCACACTACTGCTCAAAGGCAAAGAGATTGACATCGGTCGCTGCCATAGGTCTTTGAACTGATCACGGGTAAAGCCTTAATGCGGCGTAACGTTAATCCGCAAAGCGTGCCCTACTTGCGTACGCTTGCGTTCGGCAGCTACCCACTCGATCTCATAAAGAAGGGGAAATACAGTTACGTCTTCTTCAAAGACGATGGTCAGTCTCTTTGCCAGGGTTTAAGGCTGGCTAGCGTCACGATTCCTGTGCTGACAATCCTCTCCCTTATTGTTATGCAGGCTCGTTGAAGTTTACCCTGGCTGAACGATACTTGCTGGAGGACCAAATTCGAGACAAGAATCACACCGTTGCCCTAGATTCCATTGAGGATCTCGTCAATTTCCTGAAGCTAATGCTGCAGCTTGAGCCAGAAAAGCAGGCCTCACCGAAGGAGATATTGGCGCACAAATGGTTGTCGACGTAGGCGATTATTGACTTGGTGACTCGGAGAGTCGGACCTTGTAGATGATTGTCGAACTGCTTGTTTGTCGTTATAACAAGATATCTGCCCTTCAGATACCGGGCACTCCCATTGAAGAGGAACAAACTGTCAATGTATGAAGGCTAACGGCGGCGAACCTGTGGACGTGGGGGGATGGCATTTTTATCGCCAGCGCTAGCAGCAAAGGCAAAAGTTTGGGCACGAAAAATGAGACCGCTGTACTGTATACGTGCATACCTGCGTGTATAGTTACTGGCGGAGCAAAAGATCTGATCAGAGTGGGATTCGAACCCACGCCCCCGAAGAGACGAGAACCTGAATCTCGCGCCTTAGACCACTCGGCCATCTGACCCCGTGCCTTGTGAACGGTGCTGCCATATACAGCAGCACGCGGCCCTGTCTGTATGGGGAATTGGTCCCGCCGTAACGGCAGTAAGCTTGGTTCAGGCTATGTCCGCCGTCGTCCGCGTTCACACCATGCCCGTCCGCGCTTTCGCGACGCGCTGATCCGATCGCCCTGCCAGCCGCCTACGCTTACACCGTGGGCAGGAAGACTCCTGCACTCGAATTCGAGAACCAACTTCGCTTTGATTCACCCACGATGTCGCATGCGGAGTCGAGCACCAGCAAGGGCATGGCCCGGAGCAGCGGGGGCAACAGAAAATCAGCATCTCTCGCCGCGAAAGCCATCAGGCCCTCATCTTCCCCTTCGGTGCCCCTGTTCTTCCCAACCCTCCCATATCCACTTCCACCGCTTATCACGCAGTCCGCACCCCTCGTACTCTCTCGCATCGGCTTACCCCCCTTCCCCCGCGTACACTATAGGAAATTCACTGCCGCTGAATATGATATCACAGAGACTTCACAGCAACCTGGACATGCCTTGGAAATGGCTAGAAGATCTGTCGTGGCTACGTGGCGCCGCCCGGAGGATGTGCTGTCATCATGCTTAACGACTACCCAAATTGAAGAATCACCACCCCAGCTCTGGATATTCGCCATTGCTTCTGACTCTCCAACTCATCTGCCTACCGACGCCTTAAGGACGCTTGACCAATCTTATTTCGACGGTCTCATAGGTCCGCCCGCCTCTTCGCATCTCGGGCAAGCAGCGCGCATTCTGACTCGTCACCACCCTTTAATGCAGAAACTGAGAGCGGGAATTTTATCCCTTCTGACTTATTCGCTTGCTGCAAGATATGTTCAGAATCTCCTCACCCTTGTCCTCGGTGTACCGAATCTTTTCAGCCCACCGACCTTACAATGGAGCTTTCTTCTATATGCCTTCTCCCCCGGCGTTCACACCGACGTCCATATACTTTCTTTCTCCAAGCTCTACAGACAAGGCTTACAGATGAAATATGTGGACCTTCCCAGACTACCTGCGTGAAATACGACAGCGGCTTCTTGTTGCGTCCTAGTCAACACTCTGGCGATTGGAGTGCTGGTTGGGACCACGAACGGTCTAGCCGCCGCCTTCCTCACTGCCAGCTCCTTCTTCGCGTTTCGTCTTTCCAGATCACCATTCACCCATTCGTCCGGCCGTCTGTTTTGTCAATGCTACCACCAAATCCGCTCCGGGGAACCCCTCTGGTTTTACTGCCAAAGTCTTCTCCCGCGTACTTTATCTCGACGTACACAGGGAGTACTGGTAATCTCCTCTCGGCATTTAAGAGGAGTCTTGCTGGTCACGGAGCAGGAGAATGGGCGGCTCAGGGATTTGTAGTATGTTGGATCAGCTTGCCTGATGCCAGTGAAGAGGGAGAAATTGGGTCCGAGACGGAAAAGGGTTTACAGGCAGTCTGGCCGCGAAGTCTATGTTTTGTGGATCAGTCTCGGGCTCCTCTAAACTCTTTGCAATCTGCATCATTTCTGGACACGTCGAACATCTCGCCTGCCACGAAGAAGGTTGTGTCCTATCCGCCAAACTCTGTGCAAGGACGGAAAGCTGGTATGCACTCTGATACCGAGGATGTGATCCAATGGACTAGCCAGTTCTTGGATGCCCTGGTGAAAGACCGCGAGAAAGAGAGAGCGAAGCCAAGTGGCCAGAGACCGATGGCAGAGGATGTCACCATGGAACATGCATCGAGCTCCATGGGGATCATATCGAACAATATGTTTGCTACACCTCTACCACTCCCACCGACACCGTCCACGATAGTGGCGACCCCTCAGCCTCCCATATTCCCCACCGATATCACGCGACAGTTCTATCCCTCACCACCAGAATTCACGCCTTCTCTCGGTTTTTCGAGCCAACCCACACCTGCGACATCGGACCCGCCGACTCAGCCTATGGCTGCCCCTCCGGACCCGATGTCGGAGTACGCTGACCTGGACAGCATGGACTGGAACAGTCTGACATTCGGCGTTGCGAGCGGGCCTTCCGCAGAGCCAGAGAAACCCGGGGTCCAAATCGACGCGCTGGGCGGGTTCGGCTTCATTACAGATGACGATCTCAGCTTTTTCGACGAGCCTTCTGGGCCGAGCGGCCTGGATTTTCTGGCGCCGTCCATGTTGCCAGACGGCTCGCTCTTTGGCGCGATGCCGACGTCCAACTCGGACCCATGGGGTTTGGGCTCTCACGTTGACTTGTCCGCAGGGGACTTCACCATCTCGTTCGCCACGCCTCATCCGCATGATCAAGAGCCCACTCCAGCGACTGCGCTGTTTCTACCTTCCCCCGCCAAGTCGGTGACGTCGCCTCAGGCATACATGACGCCCTCCCTCTCTTTCGTGCCCGAAGACCAAACAACGCAGAGAAGGCATTCAATGGGCGCTTTTGAGCCCATTCCGTTTGCCGATTCACACAGAGTCGCGGATGGGAAGTACGAGTCGGGCAAGTTTTCTCTCCCCAGTCCGGTGGAAGAAGACCCGCCGTCGGATGAGGAAAATCACTTCCGACGCCGGTATGATGCCGTTGCTGATCCGAAAGTCCAAGTCGTCCGTCGGCTGAGGGGGCTCCGGAGAAGGAGCGGCACTGAAGTACTATCGACGCCGCCGGAGACAGGGAGACCCAGCTGGTTCCCTTCCAGAACGCCCGAAGACGATTCGAGCTCTTCATCTGATGAGGACAGCGATGTTCCGGTTGAAGACGAGCCCCCTGCCGATGAGCACATGACCGACGATATATCTCGTTATTCGACCCCTCACCCACCATCGGTACCCATTGGGCCAGCCCTGTTACACACCCACATTCGCCACGCTTCTCTCCTCTCGCTCGGCACTCAACTCCAAGTCGCGTCTCCATTGTCATCGGCGGTCGTTCAAACGCCTATACCCATGCCCATATCGGTCCCCACGCCTGTATCTCCTGGCGCTGCACTCGGCAGCATGGCAGAGAGGTTGAGGATCCTAGAAGCGGCTGTCCAAGTCGTCGTGACAGAGGCTATTGAAAACCGTCTGTGGGCCGAGATGTGTGGGATCAAGGGACAGCCGATACGCACCGAAGCTCAATCACTTTCCCAGCTCGAGGTCATCTCTGCGCTGAAAAGCATCGCTGCAATCCCCAATGCACAAACTCCTCTAAGAGTCTCGGACATTGCAGGTAAGCCTAACCGGATTGCGTCTAAACCTGTGTTGTTGATATTCATCGTCTTATTTAGATCGGTCGGGCATGCTAAACATGCACAGCTCCGACATCGGACTGGCACTCGAGCAGCTCGAGACGCCAGCTTTGTCCGTAGCAAAGGCAGGCATGGTATGCCAAGTCTCAACGCCTGCGCTCCGTTTCTGGGAGAAACTTGCTCTGGGGCCGCTTGCTGGCGCCAAAGATGTCATATCCTTTGTTTTGTTTGAGAAGGAGGACGAGGAGATGATGGCAACTGTGGAGAAGTGGCTAGATCGCGTGGGGGATGCATATTCGGTATGTTTTGTTCTGTCACGTCCTACCTCTCGACTTAGAATGCTCATATCCTCGCTGGCAATTAGGCTCATGGATATGGGAATCACACCCCCGGTTACTATCTTGGTTCTACGCCTGGGTTAGTGCCCCTGAGGTGGGAGACCTTCAAGAAAGATCTCGGCAAGCCTATTTTTCATATCATAGCTTCGACTGTCAATGATTGACAAGTAGCCTCTCGTAGCAAATTTGTTATCAACACCCCTCACGGTGCCACATATCGTTCTATACGTACTTACCCCTCCCGACTTCCTGAAAATAGACTCCACTCCCCTTCGTCAACTCGCCTCCGTGTTGATGAAGGTGAGCAAGCTCCCCCTACTGGGCTACCTCAACGACGACCGGATCTTATTCCAACTCGTGCCACTCACGACCGTGACCCACTCCAAATCACACTCGACCACCCGGGGGCTTGGGCCCCTCGTCAGCTCCGTGTATAATCGGCTCATGCGCAGAACCGACCGTGTCGTCCCGCGCGCGCTCGCCCCTCGGAGCGCCGCCCCCGCACGGACGCTCATCGAGGCGCCGGCATTCACGCTCGCTCGGGTCAATGTCCCTAATCCAAATTTCGTCCTGGACTGGCCGCTGACGGGTGTGGATGTCGTCGACAGGCACACGTTCCTGCACGTGGGGTACCAGCTCTCGCCGTCGCGGGAGTGGTTGTTTGCGTCGTGCATTGATCAGCGGGGAGAGACTCATTTCATAAGGACGTATTTGCTGAGCCAGCTCGAGGGGGAATCGGCGGAGAAGAAGGTCGCTCGCCAGCTAGTTGATTTTGCGCTGAGTATCGCGCGGCGGGTGAGCCTCGAGTGGCGATTGGTCTTTGCAAAGTCGGGGTCTATGACGGAGCTGGAACTCGACGGTTAGTTTATTTGATTGAAGCACCTCCAAGCGGAAAGCTGACAGGCCACGCCTCTAATTTCAGCTTGGAGCACCATTTTAAACGAGACCGTATCTTCTTTGGATATACAGATTCATTTCACGGTCGTCTCTGTGGACAGCAGCTCGCCCCTAGCGTTCTTTTCCCTCCCGCCCGTCCAATCACCGCCCGCCGGAACCGGGATACTCTTTGCTGACGTCTCATCTACGACATACGCGCTTTTCGTAGCCAGGGACGTACTCCCTCCCCCTCCTCTGCTACCTGGACCCCCCGAAACGGCCAACGGCGCAAATCTCACGACACCGCCAGACACGATGGGTCCGCATCCGCTGTCCAGCGCCTTCTTGTTGCACGTGACAGGCCCCGGCGACCAGACGCGCTCGCGAGGGGATGTCTCGGGAGTGTCGAGCGTCGGAGTACACATCCTGCATTTCTCTGCGACTGGGTTTTCGACGCTGCGAAAGTCGCTGTCGGAGTTCCATCGCGAGCTCATCTACAACTATCACGAACTGGCGGTGCTATCGCGCGAGCGGTGGGGTATCTATTTCGGTGCGCTGCCGTTTCACCT